AAAAAAAAAAAAAAAAAAAAAAAAAAAAAGGTTATGTTGGGACTTTTGGTCGACACGTTATTGATGGAAGAGGGACTATAAGAAATCTCGAGCGATGACATGTCGAAGTGAAGGGAAACGAAAACATGTATCGAATAAAAAAAAACGAAATAAATCTCTTTTTTATTTATTTGACTGCCTTGTATATAAATACTTAATTAAGTATGATGAATACCATCAAAGCTAAAACTTCCATATTAATTCAAATATTAATAAACTACTATTGTAAAAATAAAATAAAATAAAATAAAATAAAAATAACTTCTTCCTTCAATGAATTTTCCGGTAAATTTCTAATTTAACATAGCATATTTTTATTTTTATTATTTATAATTAATAAATCAAGTTTAAAAGTCTACATTAACACACCTTGTTATTTTCGGTGAATATCCATACAAAAAAAATAAATAAATTATATTCATTTAAAAATGTTATTGCTTCATTTGACCATAAAATAATGTTTCTTTTCCTATAATTATTAATTTAGCCTCGAGTTATTTAAAAATTTTTTATTATTATTTTATTGGATAAAGGCAACAAATTTGTCCGCGTCAGCATAATAATTAAAATCTTAATATTTTTTTTGGATCAATGACTTTTTTTATTTTAAATAATTATTTTAGTTTTCACTGTATTATTTTATTTTTAATAAAAAGATGATGTCATTATTTAATAAATAGTTAAGAGTCACATCAACCAATTCCAAACAGTGAATAATATTAGTATATTTTTGTAAATGTGTATTTAAAAAACTATAGAAATAAAGTAATTATATTTTAAAATTCTAAGTATTGACCTTTTAAAAAATTAAAATCAAAATAGAAAAGAAAAAAACACAAATTTAGAAGTCAAATTATGATTAGAGAAAAAAGAAAGATATTATCCGATAAATTTAAATAAAAAAGATAAAAAATATAATGATTAAATCATCAAAATATCCCTAATAAATTTTAATTATGCTTATAAATTTTAACTTATTCAAAAATTGGTAAAAGAATACTTTTAAAATTAAAATAAATAATAAAAATTAGAATATGTACATTATATTATTTATAAATATGAATTATTATATTATATATATATATATTTGGAACAAGCATTCACCTAACGGCAAAAATCCAGGCGTGGGAATAAAACGGGGGAAGGGGAAACCGGTCTGAGGAGAGAGAGAGAGAGGGATATAGAAGAAGAAGAAATAATGGCAAGAAGGACCCGCCATGGCCAAGAGTTTCAAGTTTAAAGCATAAGCATATGTAACTCCATGGTCCACTCTTCACCCTCTTTCAATCTTCTTCCTCTTCTTTGAACTCGCAATTTACCCAAATTAATTATCTGGCCGGCTTCTCTTTCTCTCTCTATTGCTCTTGCTTTTCAAAAAGCGAACCAGCTACTTTTTGCAATTTCTCTCTTCTTCTTCTCTCTCTCTAGCTTGATTGATTTTACGTTTTTCTGGCTTTGTTTTGGTGATCGAGTCGAAGAGCTTCTTCCGTATCTGATCCGAGAATCAGAGGCCCGAAGATCGCTACACCTACTTGTTTGATTTCTCGACGGAGTGTTTTTAGTCTTCTGTAAGTCCAAACTTCACCTTTTTGTCTCTAATTTTGAGTTTTTTTTTTTTTTTTTTTTTTTTTTTTTTTTTTTTTTTTTTTTTTTTTTTTTTTTTTTTTTTTTTTTTTTTTTTTT